TAATGGACTGGATGAGGGTGAATAGATTGAAATTAAACCCCGACAATACAAATGTGCTCCTGGTCAGTTGGAATGTGGATCAGGGTGTGGGATTACAGCCTGTATTGGATGGGGTTACACTCCCCCTGAAGACTCAGGTTCGCAATCTGAGGGTGATCCTGGCCTCGCCACTGACCCTAGAGCCAGAGGTTTCTCTGGTGGCCAGGAGCGCCTTTTCACAATTAAAACTTGTGTGCCAGCTGAGCCCATACCTTGAGATGCCAGACTTGGCCATGGTAGTGCATGCCCTAGCTACATCTCAACTGGACTATTGCAGTGCACTCTACGTGCGACTGTCTTTGAAGAGCGCTCAAAAGCTTCAACTGATGCAAAGGCCAGCTGCCAGGGTACTAACCAGAGTGCTGCAATCAACTCCCATGCTACAGCAGCTCCACTGGCTCCCAGTTTGTTACCGAGTGAAATTTAATGTGCTGATTGTTACCTTTAAAGCCCTAAATGGTTCGGGTCTAGATTATTTGGTCAACCGCCTCTCTTCATACAAACCTGTTCGGACACTGAATCATCAGGGGAGGCCTCCTCACGCTCCCGCCTCCATCTCAAACCTGGAAATCAAAATGGCCCCCTTGCTACTCTCCTTCAAAAAGCAGTTAATTTTTTTTTTTGTGCTCCCAAGCATGTGGAGAAACAGATGGTTAAACTAAGGTTCTAATGTTTTTTAAAGGCTTTTAAGCAATGTGGAACAGAATAAGAATATGGCTTTTAACACTATAGGCACTGTTTAGTGTGGTTTTGCATTGTATTGTTTATTATGATTTTTTATTATTATTATCAAAGGTGGTTGGTTTTAAATGGTTGGTTTTTATTTATGTCTGTATGTATGTACTTTTTGGCACTAAATATTTCCCTTTTATGTTATTAGCTACTCCAAGTCTTATACTGGGAGATGGGACGGGATATAAATAAAAGTTTTTTTTATTATTACTTCAATTTTTGAAAGGAGTTGTTCCAAACAATATTATCACATCAGATGTGTTTCCTGGTGGATTTTGTTTGGAGAAGGGTCTCGTTGGGGCTGTACTATGTTTGCTTTTCCTCTGTCAATTTTTTGCTAAATCCAATCAGTCTGAAAAAATAAATTGTTATTGGCAGAATTGAGAGTTCACATTTTATTCTCCCTTCTCTAGTTTGGTCTGTGTTGCACATGGTAATCAAGTGTCACCTGGGAATAAGTGGTTTTAGTTTTGGCTGCCATGGCTAATAATGAACACTAGACATCTATTTCATGGATTGCTGTTGTTGTGTGTCTTCAAGTTGTTTCCAATCTAAAGACACCCCTAAGGCAGGGTTTTCTTGGCAAAATTTGTTCACAGGAAGTTTGCCTTTGCCATCCCTTGAGGTTGATAGACTTGCCCAAAATCACCCAGAGGGTTTCCATGGGTGAGCAATCTAGCTCTTTTTACTATATTTGATAATGTTTGCTTTATGAGTTTTAGATTCATGTGGAATAACTAACTAATAAATTAATTAATTGCCTGCCTTTTTCCCGATCTGGGACCCAACTAAAATGGTTTGGGACTGCTTCATGCAGGAATTTTTGTTGCACCAAAACAGATGTGTTTTTAATAAATGTGTGATGAAATATTTCCACCTACTTTTTCTCACCCCTGACAAAGTTTTCCAGAAAAAATTAAGACTATGCTTATTCTACACTTCATTTATATTTGGTTCTTGTGTGTAAATCTTTATTTGATAGTTGTTTTCTATAGAATCATAGAATCAAAGAGTTGGAAGAGACCTCATGGGCCATCCAGTCCAACCCCCTGCCAAGAAGCAGGAATATTGCATTCAAATCACCCCTGACAAATGGCCATCCAGCCTCTGCTTAAAAGCTTCCAAAGAAGGAGCCTCCACCACACTCCGGGGCAGAGAGTTCCACTGCTGAACGGCTCTCACAGTCAGGAAGTTCTTCCAAATGTTCAGATGGAATCTCCTCTCTTGTAGTTTGAAGCCATTGTTCCGCGTCCTAGTCTCCAAGGAAGCAGAAAACAAGCTTGCTCCCTCCTCCCTGTGGCTTCCTCTCACATATTTATACATGGCTATCATATCTCCTCTCAGCCTTCTCTTCTTCAGGCTAAACATGCCCAGCTCCTTAAGCCGCTCCTCATAGGGCTTGTTCTCCAGACCCTTGATCATTTTAGTCGGCCTCCTCTGGACACATTCCAGCTTGTCAATATCTCTCTTGAATTGTGGTGCCCAGAATTGGACACAATATTCCAGTTGTGGTCTAACCAAAGCAGAATAGAGGGGTAGCATTACTTCCCTAGATCTAGACACTATGCTCCTATTGATGCAGGCCAAAATCCCATTGGCTTTTTTTGCCGCCACATCACATTGTTGGCTCATGTTTAACTTGTTGTCCACGAGGACTCCAAGATCTTTTTCACACGTACTGCTCTCGAGCCAGGTCGTCCCCCATTCTGTATCTTTGCATTTCATTTTTTCTGCCAAAGTGGAGTATCTTGCATTTGTCACTGTTGAACTTCATTTTGTTAGTTTTGGCCCATCTCTCTAATCTGTCAAGATCGTTTTGAATTCTGCTCCTGTCCTCTGGAGTATTGGCTATCCCTCCCACTTTGGTGTCGTCTGCAAACTTGATGATCATGCCTTCTAGCCCTTCATCTAAGTCATTAATAAAGATGTTGAACAGGACCGGGCCCAGGACGGAACCCTGCGGCACTCCACTTGTCACTTCTTTCCAAGATGAAGAGGAAGCATTAGTGAGCACTCTCTGTGTTCGTCCACTTAACCAATTACAGATCCACCTCACCGTAGTTTTGCCTAGCCCACATTGGACTAGTCTCCTTGCCAGAAGGTCATGGGGGACCTTGTCGAAGGCCTTACTGAAATCCAGGTACGCTACATCCACGGCATTCCCCGCATCTACCCAGCTTGTAACTCTATCGAAGAAAGAGATCAGATTAGTCTGGCATGACTTGTTTTTGATAAATCCATGTTGACTATTAGCGATGACTGCATTTGTTTCTAAGTGTTTGCAGACCACTTCCTTAACAATCTTTTCCAGAATCTTGCCCGGTATCGACGTGAGGCTGACCGGACGGTAGTTGTTTGGGTCATCCTTTTTTCCCTTCTTGAAGATTGGGACCACATTGGCCCTCCTCCAGTCTACTGGAACTTCTCCCGTTCTCCAAGAACTCTCAAAGATGGTTGCCAATGGTTCTGAAATGACTTCCGCTAGTTCCTTCAATACACTTGGATGTAGTAGATCTGGCCCTGGGGACTTGAACTCATTTAGTGCGGCCAGGTATTCCTGTATGACTTGTTTCCCAATTTGGAGTTGGATGTCCTCAATCCCTCATCCACTCCATCTTGCTGAGGTTGAAGATGACTTTCTTTTTGTGAGAAGACCGAGGCAAAGAAGGCATTAAGTAGTTCTGCCTTTTCCCTATCCCCTGTCAGCATTGCCCCATCTTCTCTGCGAAGAGGTCCTATCGCCTCCTTGTTTTTCCTTTTTCTACTGACATAAGAATAGAAGCCCTTTTTATTGTTTTTAATGTCCCTGGCAAGTCTGAGCTCGTTTTTCGCTTTAGCCTTGCGGACCTTTTCCCTACAGGTGTTGGCTATTTGTTTGAATTCTTCTTTGGTGATTTCTCCCTTTTTCCACTTCTTGTGCATGTCTCTTTTGTGTCTTAGCACAGTTAGAAGTTATTTGGACATCCATTCTGGCTTCTTTGCACTTGTCCTATTTTTTCTCTTTGTTGGCACGGTTTGCAATTGCGCCTTGAGTATTTCACTCTTGAGAAATTCCCATCCATCCGTAACTCCCTTGTCTTTTAGTATCTGTGTCCAGGGAATGCTGCTCAGCGTTTCCTTCATTTTTTGGAAATCAGCTCTCCTAAAGTCCAAAATGCGGGTTTGACTTGTCTTAGTTTCGGCCTTCCTTTGTACCTCAAATTGCAGGAGCACATGGTCACTTGCCCCTAAGGATCCTACCACTTCGACCGCATCGATCAGGTCCTCCGCATTTGTTAGGATGAGATCAAGAGTAGCCAATCCCCTTGTTGCCTCTTCTACCTTCTGGACCATGAACACTTGAAACTTCAGATCACTGATGGGAATTTTATAACTCTCTAGATATGGTTGGACTGCAAATCCTAGCCAAAGATATAATGGGGAAGGATATTGAAAGCTGAAGTTCAGCAGTGTATGGGGAGTTGTCTGATACTCACCACTGCTTTAGAAAAAGTGTAGACAATCATGTCCTCCGCAGGATGGAATACAAATTTTATCCAGCTTTTTAACCTACTTCCATGTTACATGTATTCAAATACTATTGAAGATTTTAGCTTTTCTGAAGTTGTTTTATGAAGCACCTGATTTTGTACCACCAAACCTAAACTTTATATACAGTCACCATTATTTTATTAATACAGTGTGATCAGTAAAAGTGGCACTAAACCACATAAGTAAAAACGGTGAAATACTTGCTTGAATAAAAGGAACAGAATAGAGGGGACAAAAATTAAGAAAGAAACCAAATTTACAAATAATGTATATGCACAAATACTAGGGAGCATAAGGCAATGTTCTATACAACAAATTTGCTTACTTTCATGACTTAAGATCACAGAAATCAGTTTTTCTGAATTTAAGTTACATCCAGTGCCCTATCCTTTTGTTGCTGTGCTTTTAAAAGATCATTGATAACCCTGTCAGTGTGGGGAGTTCTACTGAATGTTTCTGAAAGTATGTGTCATTCATTCTGGCTGCAGAGTAAAGTGGTGTCTTGCTTGTCTGGCTAAGCCATTACAGAATATTTTAATGGAATTCATTGTTTTAGGTACTTTGGAAAGTTTTGGTAGAAAGTTGGGATATAGTAACAAAAATGCAGAACTGTGTCACTTTTTCCTGTTAAGGCGATTCACTTACAACACACAACAATTCCCCCTCTCTTCTAAATTCTACTCTTATGTTTCACTTAGACGTCTGGATGCTAACCACATCAGCTTCGTGCCTCCCAACTGCTTCAGCGGCTTGGTTTCACTCAGACACCTGTGGCTAGATGACAACGCTTTGACAGAAATTCCAGTACAAGCTTTCAGGAGTTTGCCAGCACTTCAAGCAATGACATTGGCACTGAACAAAATATACCACATTCCAGATTATGCTTTTGGAAATCTCTCCAGTTTAGTTGTTTTGTAAGTTTTTGGTTCTTTCGAGCAGGAGTGGATTAGTATTTCAAGACATATCACAGTGAACTGACTATTTCAAGAATTTGTGGCTGTTGCCATCTTGAAGTAATTTAATATTATAAACCATGGGAAAGTGAATGTACTTTTAGTAGAAGGAGTAGGAAAGTGTGAAATATTGATAGGTCCAAAAACTGGGCAATGGTGCCAATGTAATGTCACCGTGAAATGGAGGAGGTTGAGGCTATAAACATTAATGCTTTCTTTTATCCTTGTATGCAGTTTAAAAGACATAGCATAGCTTATCTACATCACAGAAAAGGATTTAAAAAATTGCTTGCAGCCTAATCCTTTTGTTTTAATCCTTCATTAAGAAAATTAATCCTTAATCCAGAAAATTAGAATATAGTCACCCTGGGCATGCCACAAACTCCAAATTTAGCCAAAAGTAATTCCTGGACATCCATGCAATATTCAGTCTTCAGACCCTTCACACAAGTAAGACTGGTTAACCTGATTTTACCCTACTTTAGAAGAAGTCAGGGAATACTCCAGAGCTTTTTTTCCTGAAACTTCAAAGCAGTCATAAACTTCGGGATTGGTATGAACAGCTGGTCCAGTTCCAATTCAGATTGGTCCAGCTGTTCATACCAGACAACCCTACTATCCTGTTTCCCCTGTGATCCACAGTGCAGGGGAAAGGGGATGACACTTTACCTGGGCTCTTGTTCGTTGCCACAGCAGCAGCCATATAGCTTTAGAAAGCTTATGCCCTTTGCTGGGCACTTTTGCTGATGTCAGCCAAGATGTCCACATGACCTGGTGAAAAGAGGAGGATTACCCATACCCCTTTGCTCATCCTTTCCCTGGCCATCTGCATGATTTTGCTGAAATCGTCCCATGCGTCCCGGGGAAAGGAGAGGGATCACCCCCCCCCCTTATTTCCTCAGGTCATATGGGCACATTTGTAAAATAGGCAGGATATCTCCAGAGCTCAGAGGCAGGTGTCACAGCAACAAACAAACAGCAAAGGTAAGGGTGACTGTACAGCCAGGCCAAACCAGATTCAGCCAGACTGGGTAGTGTGTAAATTCCTACGTGGAATCCGGGGCCAGGCTGAAACAACAGTACTCTAGATTAGCATCAGATTTAGGATCTAATGTAGATGGGTCCTTTGTATCACATGACTAACAGTATTATATTCCAAAGAACCCAAAACAGCCAACCTAGCTCACCAAAATACTGGCACTTGTTAAACAGATCAATTAAACAAATCTAGGTCATGCATGCTGGAATTGAGATGTGATTCAAAATTGCTTTTGTACTCAGATGTACAACCTGGGAATGCCCAGTTGCTTTTTGTTACTAGGCACACTAAATCAGAAGCCGTTTGTTTGGCTGTTAATGGAAATCCCACTGTGATGTTAAATTGCCAATAACCAATGCAGTTTTGAAAAAAGCTAGAACAAAAATGAATTGCTCCAGAAGATGAGATTAATGAAGATTTGGGGAATGTTCAAAGATACATGTCATATCACTCATGCTCTATGTCCATGCTAGTCGTTAATATTAATATGCCCCCCCCCCAAAAAAGGTTAAGAAAAGAAAATGTAATTAGGTTAGATTCTGTTCAGTAACACATACCCAAATTTTATGTCTGATCTTCTCATTTTCTTTTGTGAGTGCATGACAAGTTTTTTCTGTATTTTAGTCACTCACCAGTTTGAAAATAATCCATGCCTTCTCTCCCCTGCTCTGATACTTTGCAGTTGAGTCAGTGTTATTACTAACTGTGCCAGGACCTAAACAGCATCACTTTATTGTCCCTGTAAATATCTATCTATCTATCTATCCATCTATTTACCATCACTGCCTGATGAAGAAGCCTATGAAGTTTTGAAGTCTAGTTTGAAGTATTTTACACTTTTTCATTTGCCTATAAAGTTGTTACAACAGGATGGATTTTGGATCTTATTGAGTTTTTACAGCAAGTTATATAAACCCTTAGGTCAAAGGAAAATCTGACACCATCTTCAATGGGCAAAAGAAACTAGGTTGATAGTCAATAAAATGTAAATAGAATAGCAGCTTTTGGATATGCTAGTTTTGAGGAAAATTGCTGTAAGACTAATATGGGAGAAAGTTTTACTTTCCATTCAGGTTTGAGTGGGTGTAGTTTAAAGTAGTTTTTCCTCATTTCTCAATATTTCTACAATGTCTGCAGAAATGTACATTTAGTTCTGAGATTCTTGTTTCTAAAGAAATCAATATGCAACAATCATGTTGTAGATAAGCAAAATGTTAAATCCCTGTCCCTACAGTTGGAAGCATGATGAAAGGATGAACAAAGCTTTTGAATGGCAGTGCTGGGATCCAATTCACTTTAGGCTGTGCAATTTGAGTTCTAATCCAACATAACTTCTGATCCTGCAAGAAGATGCAAGACTTTTAACCCAACTATAATAGACCCTGTGTTTTTGCAGGAGTTAGGGACATAAAACCCTCATAAAACTGGAAAACTTCAAAAAGAAATCCATTATGTTTTTAACTTGAGTTAATGCCTCTGTAGTTCTCTTGGGTGACTCTGTGATCACCTTTTACTTGGAACCATAGACTTATTATAGATGATCTGCAGATTTCTAGAGAAGTGTTTTTTCTAGGTGTTTCCAGTTCCTTAAGCATCACTTTGTGGTCAACATCTGGTGAAAGTTGACCATAGAGTCACCCTGGAGGACCTAGAGAACATATTAATCCAATTCACAAAAGTTAAACCCACAAATGTACTCACATTGCAACTGTGAGGTGAACTATTATATAGCGAAGTCTACAACTGACTGAATTAATCAAACCTTTAGGTTTACTTGAATTACTCTCAAAAGACATTGTTAATTGTGTGTCCTCAAGTTGTTTCCAATGTAATGGTGCCGCTAAAGTAAACCTAACATAGGATTTTCTAAGCCCAAGCAAGGATCCAACCACTGGTCTCCAGTCATAGCAAACTTAGACATGCTTCATTTCATTTTCACTACTTCTCCAATCCTGAAACATGTATTGAATTGCAGGGTTAGCCTGCATAGTTGCAATAAGCACAGCATAAACCCATTTAAGGATTGGAATTGCTGTATTGCAATTATACCCTTATATTTGTAGTTTTAAAATGCTTTTTTTAGAACACATAATCCTTCTCAGCTTGAAATTCCTTACAATGCAAATAACACATTTTGGCGTGAGGAAGGGGAACAAGGAGCAAGAACAGAGTTAACTAGAAGACCAGGAGATAAATAAAAATAAAAAAGTAGATTGCAGTTTAGATCACAGGGACATGGAAACTAAAAAATTGTTAATTGAGCAATTTTAAAGAACCAACTGGCAGGCAGTGCAAAGGGGTAGAAAACAGTCTGTCCCATCTACAACCTTGTAAATGCTTGACTTGTATATAATCATGCCTGTGGTGGTGGAGGGAGGGGGGCTTTCTTTATCTTCTACCATCAAAATGTGTTTCTCGGTTCTACTGTGTGTACTTGGTTTTCTGACTTTTGTGATGCACATTCTATTGCAGACATCTCCATAACAATAGAATCTACTCTCTGGGAAAGAAATGCTTTGATGGTCTCCACAGCCTAGAGACTTTGTGAGTTGACATTTTATTTTTCGTGCTTTGTTTTCTTTAGCTTTCTAGAAAAATAGAATAAAAAACCAAACGTACTTTTGGAATTACCACTGGCTTGGGATAATATTTCATGGTGACTCTATAAAAATAAACCTTTGGTGGTTGAATTGGATTTTCCCTCCAAAAAATAACATAGCCCAGTAGTAATATTTGCATTATACTCCTAATATCTGTCAATGAGTGATTGCTTAACATTCTTAATTTTGTTAGATTTTTTCCAGATATTTATTTTGGCCCAGATTAAATTTTCAGTTGGTTTATTATTTAAGACAGAGTTTAAAGCACATGATTAACATCAAAATAGCATAATTACAATATCTTCCCCATGCAGGACAACAGGAATTAAGAAGTTTAGAAATTGTAAGTGTAGTCTGATCAATATAGGAACAAGATTTAAAACTATATCTGGGGGAAATCTAAAAAAATAATGAAAAAGATATTACTGCAAATATCCATTCATAATTTGTGCTTCTGGAGATATGTAAATATAGGTATAAACTACAGTATAGATAAAGTGTACAACATGTGATAATTTATTCCCTTGTAAATCTGAATAAGTATTTAATTTAGTGATACATAATCTGGTTTACTATATTTTTTTTATTTTGATCCAGGGATCTAAATTACAACAATCTCGATGAATTCCCTATTTCTGTCAGAGCACTCAGAAACCTGAAAGAATTGTAAGTAACATAAAATTATAAGGATTCTGTGTTCTAAATTATTACTTTATTTCAGCAATGGCAGCAGCCATAAGTTGCATATTCTGTGTATTTTAGGAATATCTAAGAGAGCAAGAAGTAAGTATACTTCTAACAGTGTTTTAGACTTATTTGCCTATTTACTGAGGCCTAAAACGATGAAATAAAAATACAGTACTTTCATAATATCCTGGGAAACAAGAAATACAAGTTACCAGTGGCAGCCAATAACTTCCACATTAGTGGTGCAGTGAACTTGTTCTTGGTTTTATTCCAGATGTTAAAGAAGCTATCTAAGGTGCTGAATGAGGTTCAGAACCATGGATAGCTCCTTTAAAGTCTGCTATCAGACCCAGAGCAGATTCACTGCATCCATGTTATAGAAACCTCTGCTGCCATTCAGTGTTACATATTGGCACCATTTTTAAGATAGCATCAGCCATATTGGCAAGAGAATGTGATGTGTGAAAACTGAATTTCATAATCAATAAAATGCTGGCATTGAGGGTTATCATATGACTTTTGCTCCATGAGCATATCTTAATCTAGCAACCCTCAAACGTGATACCTGAAATACAAAGAGCAAGAAAGAATATCACTTGTCTATGTAATTTTCCCCTCATCTGGCATCTCACTTTAAATAACAATCATCAGGTCTTTACATCTAGGTACAAGAGGTATAACTATTTTGAACTCAGATACTATACTGATATACTAACACTGGATATAGAAGTAGTACTGGGCTGGTACAGAAGTTTGCTGGAAACTTTTGCTTCTGGTTTATGCTGGCTTCAACAAGTGTTGAATATTTTATTGTATTTTATTGGCTGGATCCAGATCTGGCTGAGCACAACAGTGCTGGCAGAAGTAGACTTCCCTTCTCATTTTTTTTCTAACACTATTTTCTCCGGCCCCAACCCCAAAATGATGTATGGAGGGTTGGAAGATCCTATCTGATTGAGTAGATTGCTGAAGAAACTTTCATGTAAACAGGAGGAGTAAAAGAAATCTGTGTCTGCCAGGACAGTTGCAGATCACTAAATCTTGATTCAACTTCCTTATTTTTACTGGTTTTACTCTGAGATTAAAGACTGAAAAATGGCCCCACAATATAAAACTATATTTTGTCATTTAAATGCAGCCTCACAGGCTTTGTAGTAATGGGGTAAATACAGCAAATACATATATAAATTCAAAACTGTATCATCTGTAATATACATTGAGGAATACTATACAACTGTTTTGGTTCGCTCCTGACACAATAAATAAATAAATAAAATATTGAGGAATAAAGTGGGCAAACTCTGGGAATGATTGTACTTGCTGTGAATGTAAATTATTTTTATTAATTGTTTTGCTTGCAGATGTATGGGACCCATAACAAATCCACTAGGTGGCTTGCAATTTAATCCTTAGTGTCAGCAAAACAACTGATTTTTCACTTCTGGATGTGGGAGTGAATTAAGCATCTTTAAAAAAACTTAAATGTTATAATGTCATTCAGACAAAAGCTTATATTTAATTGTATTATTTCAGTGAGCTGTCTACACTTTTAACCTTGAAACATCATCTTCATTTGGCACTATATCACACAGCCTGCAGTGATCATGGAAAATATTTTGTTGTTTTTATTGGACATTAACAAATGGAATTGACAACTTTTGTGGTTTGGCATGAATTATTGATTCTTCATTTTATAATGTAATGACTGAACTTCACTAAAACAGAACTGTGATTTCAAAATTCTACAAGTTATCAATGCTGAAAAGGTGGCTAAAGTGAAATGGACACCATTCTTTGAGAAAATAATTTGTCTCAAACCAGGGAGCTATAAGAAGATAATAGCTTGATCTAAACCCATTTCAATTCACCTTTAGTCATTGGGAGGGCAGCAAAACCAGTTTTGGATTTCTAGACAGATTTTCATTGGTATTTATTTATAGTGTCAGAAGCAAATTGAGGGTACAGTTATAATGTATTTAAAAATGCAAAAAAAGTTTAAAATTTGGCATTATATTAAATGTCCTTTCGCCAGAAGCTGACCACTTGAAGTGTCTCTGGTGCCACTGTAAGAAGGTCCTCTGTTGTGCATGTGGCAGGGCTCAGGCTACATTGTAGTAAGTGGTCTGTGGTTTGCTCTTCTCCATACTTGCATGTCGTGGGATCAACTTTGTAGCCCCATTTCTGAAGATTGGCTCTGCACCTCGTGGTGCCAGGGCGTAGTCTGTTCAGAGCCTTTCAAGGTGCCCAGTCCTCTGTGTGCCCAGGGGATAGTTTCTCATCTAGTATCAGCCGTGAACTGAGGTATTTTCATTGGTAGCAAGATAGGAGGTGAGGTTGGCATTTCATTGTTTCTCCTGCTATCTCAGTTAGATTCACCGCCATTGACCACATATATTACTATTTAAAGTTTAAGAACTAGAGATACACTGTTAGAAATGTTTCCAGTACTACTTGTAAGGTTTCTAAAAGAAAACTGGGATTTCCGCTTGGCTGTATGTTGCAACCTATCTATCTGTCTAGTAATGGTAAACTCAAAGGCCACATAAAAACGAAGGACCTGAATATGAGCTTGCCAAGGTGGTAAATCATTGTTGACATAACACAGTGATTGTGCATCTGGTATGTAGTTTCCAAGTACAATATACAGTATTTTGCATTACATTACACTTCCTTTTCAGCTATCATTTAACACATTTTGTAAAAATTTATGCAAAAATATTCTTATTTTCTTATCTGAATTTTGTGCATTGTGACCATGTGAAATATGTTTCTCTTGATCTAAGGGAATAACCAAAAATGCATCCTGAGTTTAAACACATACTGTAATTATGGTCTGAATGAATAGCGGTTACACTGGATGCAAGCTTTCTCAGTCCTAGGGTTTTTAAACACAAATTATGATGCTATCTGGAAGAGCTGTTAACAAGGCTACGAGTCACAATCATTTCATTTGTATTATGTTTTCTTGTATAGTTCCCAGAATCTAGGCAACACTTCTGACAATATTACTCAGAAGTCTTCAAAAACTAGTTCATTTATTCACATTGAGATTTTAAAACTGGCATATGCTTAGTATAGAACTTGGAAAAGCTGCTTTTGAGACTGTACTTCCTTGAATCCACATCTAGCATAGCAACAGAACATGTAATCTGGAAAATCCAGAATTGTAGTCCAAAAAGTAATGCTTCCAAGCTCTGGTTTATCAACTCTTTTATTTACAATGAACTCCTCTGTTTCTGAGCACCATGGAGGGAGAAAAGGCCTTCATCGCATATGTATGTGTTAAGCAAAATGCCAACAGCTTGCAGTATTCTCCTTGCAACAGCTGTAACCATAAATGACTAGTTGCTTTTGTAACGATAATGTTAACAATAACTGCTAATGGGTATTCAAGTTATTGTTATTTTTTTAAAGAAATTTGTGAAAGTCTGGTCTGGAGAGACAATTTTCTTTTGTAGCCAGTTTTCTGAGAACACTATGTATGGTCACTAATAGCATTTGAAAATCTCACTGAGGCAATGCATCAGTGAACCATCCAATACTTCAGTTTAAATCTGGGAAGCTTTGTTCATACCTGATTGAACAAATGAACATTTCCCACACAAGTCATTACTTTTCCTGCTGAACACTTTGTTGCTCCCTTTGTTTTTAACAATAGATTATTACTCATGTGAATAAAATGTGGTAATTAATTTAGAGACAATTTGCTTCCTCCTTAAATGGCTGTGATTACATTGTCTAGCTTGTTCATTTAAAAAAATATTTTCATAATGGAACTGTGTAAAAGGCTAAAATGTACAGGATGTGATTTTATGTATATTCACTTTCATTAGCACCCTAATTACAAACACATTGGAAACCCTGTTCAGTTTAATTGAGACTTCATTTAAGAAGAGGCATCGGAGAATAGGCTGTGTTTACTTACGTGAGGACACATCCTTATGAATGCAGTGCTACTTTAAACTAAATATGTATGGAATCAGACTGAGAATCTCATTAGCAAAAATAAAATAAAAATCATGTATCAGTTGAAAATATTCATAAGATTGACCATGCTGGCTACTTTACTGGAGTAGCATCACAAAGCATTTCACTTCATTATTTACTAGAGGCATGGGTATTTATGCAGATATTTAAGAATTTAAACATCTGGAGGAAATGGGCACTTTGATTACCACATTAGGAAAATGTCTCATCTGTCCACCCATTTAAGTCCTACTTATCCATCCATCCTTGTATTTATTACTATAATTACAAGGAACAAAGATTTCCATTGTTGCATCTGCCAGCATTCTACTGAACAGACCTTCTCCCAAGAAACTGTGTATTAGCATCTCTCTGAAACAAAACGAAACAAAAACGTTTGTCATACATTTTGTTGTTTCTTTTCTAGAACATTTCATAACAATAATATCAGATCAATACCTGAACAGGCATTTGTGGGCAATCCATCACTTATAGCAATGTAAGTACTCTGCTTTTCATAGAAAAAGTGAAAATAATTTCTGTATATATCACTATCTTTTATGTTTGGGGACCTTATACTAACAGACCATTACTTCTCAAACATCATGAGAAGTCACCTTCTAATCTATACAAATAAGTAGGTATTCAGCATCCCAATCTAGAGAACATCCAAACGCCCAAACAGTTCAGGTCCAGGTTATTTATCTAATTGCATCTCCTTGAATAGACCATCACGTGCACTGCAGTCTACAGAGGAGGCCCTCCCCTTAGTCCCACCCCCATCACAATCTCAGTTGGTAGGAATGAGAGAGGGGGCCTTCTTGGTGATCACTTCCATCTCTGGAACTCCCTCCCTAAAGAAATAAAAATGGCCCCCACCCTCCTGTCCTTTAAGAAACTTCTAAAAATGCACCTATGCACTTTAGCATATGGAGAGGAGGAGGACTAGAACACTTTAAATGCTGGCTAACCCACTTGCATTTTATGGCTGTTATGATACAACTTAAACAAGGTACTGGTGTCAGCCATTTTAAATGTAATGTCTCTTAACTTGCTTTTAGGGTGTACGGAATGCTTATTTATGTTTTAGTTTTTGTGTCTTAGTGGATTGTGCCTGTTTTTATTTTATTTTGATGCTTTTTTATTTTATCTTGTGTTATTTTGATGCTTAATTCCTTCATTGTAAGTTTACTATCCATCATTCTGTATTATTTTGATGTGTTTGTATTCATTTTGAGGCATTGAATGTTTGCCTTTTTATATGTAAACCACCCTGAGTCCCTCTGGGGAGAGAGGGTGGTCTAGAAATAAAGTTGTATTTATTATTATCAGCATGCTATATTTTTTCCAACTTGATCCTGTCTAATTAGATCCCATGTCTCAATGTACCTTCAAAATTTTCTCAAACACTCATACAATTTCTTCCCCTGATCTTCACACATATTTTCCTCATATCACTTCATTTCCAATCGGATATAAAGAAACCACAGTCAGGAAACCCCAACTGTCAGGAAATGGTAACAGTCATTAAACTACAGTCCTCGTTTTCTTTGAACTGATACAGAATAGCACATCTTCACACTTGTAAGTCCTGAATTCTGATTATTTAATGGTCCTGGTATCAAACAAAAAATGTCTGCATCCTCCTAGCCTTTCCCCTCTGCACTTCACTAGTGTTTCATTTCTCCACTGCTTTGTCACCTAATTCTAAGTTTGGGCATGGAATAGGGTAGAATCCTTGAAGGAGCTGGGGATGGTGATGGCCAACAGGGAGCTCTGGCATGGGCTGGTTCATGAGGTCACGAAGAGTCGGAAGCGACTGAACGAATTAACAACTTTATTCCATGTAGAGATCACATAGACTTCTAATGCAGATTTCTCTGGCAAGTTATTCTCTCTGGTATTTTTTTGATTACCAAGTCAATTGCTCCAAAATATTAAAGTGAGCTTAATGAAATATTTTACTATGTAATTGTTTTATTACTTGGTTTTATTATATTTATTGTGACACATTAAAAGAACTAGCCCTTGAAAAGCAGATTGCAGACAAGGTCATCAAAGCTTTGATGTGAGCCTCCAGTTTATTATATAAATATTTGAAGATATCAGTCTTGAGTGTTAAAATTGTCTTCATCTTCTTCACAGCCATTTCTATGATAATCCTATTCAGATTGTGGGAAAATCAGCCTTTCAACACCTACCTGAACTCAGAACCTTGTATGTACTTACATTTTTTAAAGCACTTCATTTTCAATGTTTGCACCCGCTTCAAGAAAGAGAAGGGGAAAACTATCCACTAATTATGTTGTGTTTGCAACTTTAGGACATTAAATGGTGCTTCACAGATAACAGAGTTTCCTGATCTGACTGGGACAACAAGTCTGGAAAGCCTGTAAGTATCAGGAATATAGTTCATATTACCTCCAGAACAGATGGTATTAATTATAGCAGATGTTGAATTGCTTTTAAGTGGCTTTTGAACTGTCCTTCAGCTAGCCATTTGCAACCCAGTCTGCAAAAAGTTTAATAAAAAATAATGGAATTGATCTAAGTTGATGCTATTGTCACTGTGGGTCATATATTTACAGGCCCGGGAACTTGTGGTGGATTTGTGTGATGAATAAATGGATGTAAATACAGAGAATAACACAAAAGTATGATTAATATGAATGATTCCAAATCCCATTCCATGTTTGGCCAGAAGAGGAATCATGCACATGTTTCAATACACCATTTGCATTACTTCACCTGTTAATGGAGTTGAATAATACAGAGAAGAGAGTTCAAGCATACTATTTCACACAGAGATGATGGCCAACCCAGTAACCTACAAACTTGACCTACTGACACTGAATGGGAATGAGTCTTAGTGCTTCAGTTTAATATATTTATGGATGAGATTGTTAATTGTGTGTAACTGTGTACCTAAACAGGACTCTCACAGGAGCTCAGATCACATCTCTTCCAGAAACAGTGTGTGATCAGCTTCCTAACCTTCAAGTACTGTAAGTATAAAGATTTGTTTACTATAAGTAAAGTGTATCAACTTGCAATAGACAATATTAACATGAATGATACTTGAATAGTCATACAAAGAGAATGGAATTCACGTAAACACTATATTTATGTATGTTGCAATTTAGTACATATAGTACAGTATTTAATTTCTACTATTGGTTGTTGTCATGGTTTTTATAGGCATATTTTGACATTGCCTATATGCCTACATACATATATACATATACATACATACACACATACACACACACACACACACACATATATATATAGACATATCCTTTTTCAAGACTTTTTTGTAATTTATTTGAGAATTTTTCTGTGATATATGCTATAGGTTATATTGTAAACCTGCTCAAGCACTTAGACCTCTAAATGCAAGATGTTTAAACAAACATGTAACTATAAATGAAGATTGTAATATAAGGGTCACACATGACTGATTTATTAGTAGTGTTACAGCCTACATAGATCCAATTCTTAAAATTGGTATACAGTATGACTATTGTCCAGAATCCTATCACAGCTACCTAGTTAACTATTCTTAACCCACTCCCCGCAAACTTGTTGGAATCATTATTCGCCACATTTCAGAGGGTGGCAGAATGGATCTCCTTCTCCCCCTGCAGATGATGCTCAGTAAAATAGGTTTAGAGGAGAGTTTTGATCATAACAATAGAGCCACAATCATGAGTAAATAGCAGCCATGAAATCAAAACAGTTACCTGGTGTAGAGAAGTGTTCATTATACTGTGTTTCAAACTGTGTTTAGGCTTTACATTGTGGCCAGGGCCTAG